CCCAGGACAGGTCCCCACCAAGCCAGCCCTGGTTCCTCCAGCTGAGCAGACCAAGACAGTTCTGGAAATTTTGCATTTGGAAGTCAAGGAGAAAATCTTATTTTGCATCAACACTTATTGTAAATAACACCTGTAAAAACTGGTGGATTTCTTGTCTGATCCTTTCTCAATGATGCAGCATGGTATGTATCTCAGGGTCCTCATTCCAAACATCAGTGAAGGTTGCACAGAGCTACAGTTCATCCAGTAAGATGGTTCATCCACTAATAGGACCAGACACTGGAATCCTTGGCTTGAGTCACCTCTCTTGTCATTTGATGTTTTCTGATAAGAGACAAGTGCTGTAAAAATAAATAAGCAACAGCATTCCAGTTGTTGCAAGTTCTGGGGAGCAGGGGGCTTTTAGACTTCCTACGCCATAACCATCCAAATGGATCCCAAAATTTACGTAGCTCCTGGAAAGTGTCACAATTATCTTGGCAAGTAAATCACTCTGCCCAGAAGTATCCACAAAATCCATTTTTTTAACGTCTTTATTGGAGTACAATTGCTTTACAATGGTGTGTTAGTTTCTGCTTTATAACAAAGTGAATCAGCTATACGTATACATATATCCCCATATCTCCACCCTCTTGCATATCCCTCCCACCCTCTCTCTCCCACCCCTCTAGGTTGTCACAAAGCATGGAGCTGATCTCCCTGCTGCTACCCACTAGCTATCTATTTTACATTTGGTAGTATATATAAGTCCATGCCACTCTCTTACTTCATCTCAGCTTCCCCTTTCCCCTCCCTGTGTCCTCAAGTCCATTCTCTACGTCTGTGTCTTTATGCCTGTCCTGCCCCTAGGTTCCTTAGAACCAGTATTTTTGTTTTTTTTTTAGATTCCATATGTATGTGTTAGCCTACAGTATTTTTCTCTTTCTGACTTACTTCACTCTGTATGACAGACTCTAGGTCCACCCACCTCACTACAAATAGCTCAATTTCGTTTCTTTTTATGGCTGAGTGATATTCCATTGTATATATGTGCCACATCTTCTTTATCCATTCATCTGTCGATGGACACTTAGGTTGCTTCCATGTCCTGGCTATTGTAAATAGAGCAGCAATGAACATTGTGGTACATGACTCTTTTTGAATTATGGTTTTCTCAGGGTATATGCCCAGTAGTGGGGTTGCTGGGTCGTATGGTAGTTCTGTTTTTAGTTTTTTAAGGAACCTCCATACTGTTCTCCATAGTGGCTGTACCAATTTACATTCCCACCAACAGTGCACAAAATCCATTTTAAAGCCTCTGCTTTCAGGTTATCTGAAGACCCTGTATGGAGAGACCTAGCATAGGTTGTAGTGAACAGATGGTGTAGGTTCCAAGAAAGTCATGACATATGCTCAGTTTTGGCTGGAGTGGCTCATGGCTATACTGTGGTCAGTGTCAGCTGAGACCCACTCAGGAACCTGCATGGCCTGCCCAATGACCTCCAGAACTTTTGGGAAGGTGGTGACAGCATGGGAGCGTGACTGAGGGAAGATTCAGGGATGTGTCCCACCCTTAGTCTCTGAAATAGGTGTGACTCGTTGGCTCCAGTTAGAACTGGTGAATTCCCCAAATCCAAATGTCAGAGTGGTGATTTCTTGCAGAGAGTGGATGGCAGCCCTGGATATTTTGGGAACGAACCGTATCATCTTCCCTCATCTCTTCTGGGAGAGCAGCCTACTTCTACACATCTGCTCCCAGGAGATCAGTCTCCAAAAAGCCCCACCTTGAGTGCAGGTTACAGGGTCAAAAGATGCTGCTGCTTTGGCTGCCAGCTGGGGTGATGTAGGCAGAGAAGCTGGGATGCGGAGGCATGCTATCCTGACCTACAACTGCTTCCCTTGCAGCCTGTAGACACTGCGAAAGCAATTTTGAAAATCTGAGACATCTTGATGTATCTGCTCATCTTAAGCTTATTTTAATAACTATAATTTTATTTATTTTTTAAAGCATTTATACCCTTTAAAAATTTTATTTATTTACTTATTTTATTTTATTTGGCTGCGCTGGGTCTTAGTTGCGGCACACAGGATCGTCATTGCCACATGCAGGATCTTTGTTGCAGCATGAGGGATCTTTAGTTGCATCATGCGGGATCTTTTAGGTGCAGCATGCTAACTCTTAGTTGCGTCACGTGGGATCTAGTTCCCTGACCAGGGATCAAACCTGGGCCCCCTGCATTGTGAGTGCAGAGTCTTAGCCACTGGGCTACCAGGGAAGGCCCTAATAACTATAATTTTAGATGATCATCTTTTATCCTGATCTTGAGTCTTACATCTTACATTTAATTTTTAAGCTTCATAATGAATATTAATGAACTAATTTACTTAGGGATTCACCTAGAGTCTATTCCTTTATGTATGGCTTTCATCACAGTGATCTCAAACACTTCTAGGAAGATTACCCACATAAATAGTGCCCCCAGCATTTATGCTGGGAAATACTTGATTGCTTTCTGCTTATTGTTAATTCAGGAAACCCGTTCATTCTCAAAATATAAACTCTTGCAATTGAATCAAATGACTCAGCTCTCCTGCTCCAGCCATGCTGCCTGGCCTTTCCTCACAGCTCCAGACAGGGGTCCAGTTGTCCTGAGCACACCCCCGCTCACCTGTCCTGTTGTACGAAACTAAACGTGTTCCCTTCTTTCCCAGAGTCTCCCTATTTACTCCCACCAGTTAGACTGTGCAAATATTCCTGTGTCCTTCAGGGATCCCAAATCACCTACTGGACCCGTGAACCAACCCCCAAAATCACACATGATATGTGGTCCATGTGTGCATAGTTTTCTGGGGATCACACCCACGGCTTTCATTATATTCTCAAAGGGCCCATGGCCCTCTCATCCAAAAGGATGGAAATGGTCTCTCACTGTCATCGATACTGTCCTATGGTATACTTGCAACAGTAAAACAGCCTCCTGGCTGGTCCCCCCGCCTCCAGGGTCCTTCCAGTCCATTCTGTGCACTGACACCACCTCACTGATCATCAGTGGAACACAAGGTTTACCTGCTTTAATTCTCTTCCATTCCCCAAGTCCACAGGAGCCTGAGAGCGGTGCCACCACACCTGTTTTATTCCTAATTAATTGCTTTGCTACCTAGAACACCTCCCCTGCCTCTCTCCGCACACCCATTCAACCTCCACACTTCAAGGCCCAGCCAAAGGCACGTCCCAGCCGAAGACCAGCCTAGAGGTGGAGTTTGGTTTCAGATGACAGGATACCTGAGAGGGGATGTGGGCCTGGAGGTTTACAGAGCTGGAAAGGTCTGCATGGAGTTGAAAATCTTGAAAAAGGACGAGCTCTCCAAGGTTTCAACCTTGACAATGAAAGAGCTCTCCAAGGTAACTAAAAGCAAAAACAGTCAAATGTTTATTCTCAATTTCTACAGCACTTAGGTGCCCGGCCCAGGGCTCCACAAAGAGCTCACTTGAATACTTACCGAACAAATGTGGAATGTTACATTCAAAACGAAACATAATCTGATGGGGGAATGGGAGTTTCATAAGGTTAAAATTTGCCTGCAAAATATTTTGAACAAAGTACTTTGCAAAAATTAGGTGAATTATTTCCCTAGTCTTTGCCTCAAAAATTGTAATTTATAAAAGCACTGGAGTTGAAAGTGGTTTAAAGCGGCAAATGAAAAGTCAAATGACATCCTTAATAGGTGCATATTAAATATACATATTTCTATTAACATTTTTCATGGATGTGATGATAAAGTAAATCTACAGTGGAGAGAAAGAAAATACACTTTGCATTAATAATTTGTAAATCACTATCTCAGGGATTTGCTTAATTACTGTTACCTATGCAACTAACCCCGGGCATAATTATTTAGGAAAGAATTCATGTCTTCCTTGCGACACATTCTAAACCAATATTGTTGGTCTCTAAGGAGAAACTGTGTCCGCAGTTAAGTTAGGTGTTTAATATCATGAGTCAATATTAATATTAAACTAGAGCTGAAGAGAGAACAAAAAACAGGGGCTGGTGCACAGCCACAGAACCACGCTACAACTGCAGGCAAATGTGAGTTGCCAAATTAGGTGTTATTGAAATGGAAGACCAAGCAGGAAGCTGGTGGATCGGCAGGCGGGGCCCGTCCCTCATAACGCACTCACCAATATAACATTCCCCCAGTGCTTCATCTTCATTTGCAGAGGATAATGGATAGGATCAGGGCTGCGAGAGTTTGGTCAGTTGCACAAGACCCAGCCTCTAGGCACAGAGCTACCACGGAGCCTGGCTTCTACCAGACCATCTACTCTCTACCAACTCAACAGCAGTTTATAAATTCCCCCCAGGGCTTAACAATGCCCTTTGGACCTCCACACACAGGAGCCCTTTAAAAGCCGTCATCCCCAAAGCTGGCTGCCCATAGCATCCCACCAGTGTTCAGACCACACAGCCCAACTGTGCCCCAAATCTAGAGAATTTCCAAGTCAGAGCCCTCAACAATAACTGCTCCTCTGCACATGTGACGAAACAGAGGCCTGGAAGATCTAAGAACTGGGCCCGAACCCTGATCTTCTTCCAGTCCGGAGGAGGTTCTGCTGTATCCCAGTTCTGCCAGCTGTTATGACATAGGGGATGCCAACCGAAGTAGAGCTGGCTTTTCAGAAGTGATATTGCAGTCCTTCAGGAATCCTGAGCGCCTGGACCTTTGAGTGTTATTGGAAAAGCATTGTTCCAATTTACTGGAAATTTTCCTTTTACAAATTGACCTCCTGCCCTTGCTAAACCGTTCCCCTTCTTTTCCTCTGGAAACGGTCTACCTGGACACCCCTTGCCATTGTTACCTGGCTGTGGGCACAGGGATTCCTGTCTACTAGGCTCCCTTGTAAATGTAGTGAGCACTGGCAAAGAATGGGAGGAAAAGGCCGGAGCATCAGAGGTTTTTTGATGCAGCTGTTCTAGAGCAAGACCCACGGTGCAGAAAACCAAACTCTGACAGCGGGTGTTTGCAGCAAAATAAGGGTTTATTTGCAGGGTGCCAAGCAAGGGAGTGGGAGACCAGTCTCAGATCCACTCCATCTTGGTCTTTGAGTTAGGGCTGTTTTAAACGGGAAGAACAAAGAAACTGGGATTAATCATTTTGTGACATTTCTGTGACATTTCTTAACTGTCGTTTAGCGAGTCAGGATGCCTCTGGTTTATGATTCTCTGGCCAGATGGTCCAAGCCTCAGGGATCTGTGAGCTCATCTTGCTCTGAGTCTTTACGTTAACGATGACCTCCATAATAGCAATTTTACCGTATTAACAATGTTACCGAGAACAGCCATCTTTGTCATCTGACTGTTTGATTCGTGTTCAGTTAGCACAGGATTGAGGTCAGAGGAGACAAGAAAGAGATCAAGGTTTTGAATAGAGAGATTAATCATAAACTCTGCAAGGGAACTCGGTTTTAGAGGCACTCAGTTTCACAGTCAGTGGCCAAGTCCTTGACCTGAAAGCTGCCTCGGGTGCCCGTGTCTTCATGAAGGGCTTTGCCTGGCTCAGAAAAGCCTTGCAGCTGATAAACTTTGTGAAGTCCCTGTCCTGCCTGTTTCCACCAAGTAAAGCACGCTCAGCCCTTTCCCCTTCCCTCACTGGTTTAGGCAGATGGCCCAGTCCGTCACAACCAAAGCGGAGAAATGGTCTGAGCTGACTCATCGAAGAACAGTAATTCCTTCCAGAGAAGATTCGCCATTCGCTTAGACACTGGAACGATTATTTGCTGGCGGACAGCTGTAATTACTTTTTGCTGCAGGTAGGCAACTGTTCCAGAAGTCAAACTAATAGAATTACTGGTTTCTGAACGGCTTTTGGAACAAGTAATTTTCAACAAGTCAGCACAGCATGTTCAGTGAACTTTCCACCCAGGACAAATCCCTGCCTCTGAGACTCTGCACTGCAGGCAAGATGTGGGTTCTTCGATGGGGCACTTTGGAACCGTAGGGGCATTTTTCTTCCAGACCCTTCGTTTGAAAATGGGACTTGAGCAAATCGTGCTTGGAGATATTTCATGAGCTTGCACCAAATCACTCTTCTAATTTTTAATTACTCTGGGAGTTGGCATTAAATTGTATCAACCAACTAACCAACCTTTCTAGCAATAGCAGGGTAAATCACTTTCCCAGTCATGGTATCCCATGGTAACTTCTCCCTCCATGCTACCCATTTCTGAAGAGAAGTTAAGGGAAAAATAAATCCAGAGGGCCTTTTAGTCAAGGTTCCTAACAAGATTACCAACTACTGTAGACTGTAGATAATGATTTTGCAACTAGATTCTCTATTTGATAAGAAAAAGCCCTTTTGAATGCTTGTCAACATTGGACCCTATCAGCTGATTTGATGTCTAACAGATTTTAAAAAGCACATCCATGGTCTGTTGGGACAACAGTTCCTTTTACTGAGAAGTCTTTGAGGTATTTTTTGCTGTTGTTGTTGTTGTTATGATTACTAAACATTCCCGCCTCCTGCTTTGCCATCCACTAATTAGCTGAGCTCTGTTTTTGAGTGGGCTGGGCCATAACTGTTCTCTTTGTGCCCATGAGTTGGCTTGCCCTGTTACCTGTCCAGGGGAAGGAGCAAACGCAAAACTGTATGACTTGGGAGAAGACTGGGCCTACCTTAACTCTAGTATCATAAGAAGAGACAGGTCTGCTTTTAAGCAGATTGAGAACACTGAGTTGTTGAGAATCAAGAGAGGATGGACTATATAGACTATTGATCCGGAGACTGTGTATGGTGAGAACATTTAAGGCTTACCCGCTTAGTAACCTTCAAATATACAATACAGTATTGTAAACTATAATCACCATGCTGCACAACAGATCCCTAGAACTCATTCATGTTATGACTAGAAGTTTCTACCCTTTGACCAATATCTCATCACCACCCAACACCCCAGTTCCTGGCAGCCACCAATCTACTCTCTATTTCCATGGCTTTGGGTTTTCTAGATTCCACATATAAGTGAGATCATATAGTATTTGTCTTTCTCTGTGGAGACTATTTTTCAGACTTTTTGACATATGGTCAATGCATAGAGACCTGTTAAGGGAATTTATTTCAAGCAATTGGTGTTATCAGTCTGCTTTATTGATATGCAAATTCATTAGAGTCTGGGATCCCCAGAGAAGGAACTGTAACCCCACAGCAAACTTCCTTTGCAGCCCTTAGAAATCAAAAAACCTTCATTCATTGTTAGGAAAGTTGAAAGTATGCTAGATAGCTGTCTTCAAAAGCCTGAAAAATGCTTAGCTGAAAATCATTAAGTAGGTTTAAGAAACTGTTTACTGTTTAGTACTACACAACATTTAGTATTACCACAACCTTTGCAAGTCATTCTGATGGGGGCACTAAAGTCACCCTCAACTGCAGGACCCCAGCTCTAAAACATCAGGAGGGTAGAGTCTGCAAATTGAGAGCATATGAGTCAGAGCAAAAGTTTGGAATCAGACAGAACTGGGCTCAAATCCCACTCTACCACTTCCTACCCGTGTCTTCCTACAATCCTGTCTGCCTTGCAATGGGGGTGATGAGATAATGTATGTGAAGCACTTAGTGCTGTGCCTGGCACATAGTAAATGCTCAACAAACAGTGATCAATACATTAATTATGCTGATGAATCATGCTTCCTTTAAAAGACATACACCAATAACATTTCAAAGGGCGTACCCTTTGCTAGCCAAACCTCCTTTACGGAAGATCTAACATTCCGGGTGTTGAGGAAGATTCTAAGGTACCCATGAGACCCATACTATCACAAAAGGTCAGTGTGGTCACTTATCACAAAGTGTGGTCAGTGGGCCACTGCCCCAGAATCACCAATAGTGCCTGTTTATAAAACTGGTTTCTGGGCCCCCTAGAAGGCAGGCTGCATTGGTCAGGATTGGCCAGGCTATGCTGCAGTAAGAGACACACCCTAGAAGGTTGGCGATTTCACCTTGAAAGGTTTATTTCTCACTCACGCAAAGTCCGCTGTGGCTCTGAGCATCCTCCAGGGCATCTCATTTTCAGCAGGGGCTCGGGGACGCAGGCTGTTTCTCTCTGGTGGCTCCACCGTGGAGATAAAGCCTCTTGCTGTTGACGTGGCAGGTGAAGAAGACCACCAAAGTGACTCCTGGCACATCTACTCACAGTCTGTTGGCCAGAACCTGTCACGTGATCCCGTTTACTTCCAGGAGCTGAGAAAAATGGTGAGGAGGGTGGATATCTGAAATGTCTCTCTCTGCCTCACTCACTGAATCATTCTCTGGGGTTAGGATCTAGGAATCTACATTTTCAAACTCCCCAGATGATACAATTCAAAGTTAGCCATCACAGGGCTGTGATTATCTACTGCTGGCAATGTTCCTTTTTGGGATAAATAATTTGAAATAATGGAAATGAGAGAGTGGCTCTGTCAACATAATAATTAAACTGGGAGTCTAAGAGTCTAAAACATTAGGCTCTTTTCTAGCTGTTATGTTAAGTGTAGCTCTTAGGTACAGATGCCTCTGAAATCTATTTCTGGTCCAGACTCTCCACTGCCTTCAGACTGATATATACTCAGCCAGGGTGTCACAAATCTCAAACTGTTTGTTCATCTCTACCAAACCTGTCCCTGTGTCGTGTCCTGGGACAGTACCAACACCCACCCTCTCGGGCAGCTTCCAAGGCTTCGTGACTTGGGAGTCTTCCTTGGCTTTTCCCTTTTTTTAACCCCTCAAAGCCAGGCATCAAGACTGTGTTTCTGTCTCTTCACCGCATAGTGCGTCTGTTCCCATCTCTCTTCCTCCACTGCCGTTCCCTTAGTCCAGGGTCCCATCATCACCTGCCCTGGTCCAGCTCCTCTCTCCTCTTTCTCCCAAATTGCTGCCAGGGTGATGAACTCCCCTTCACGATAAGCATTTCCTCATTTCTTCCCAGCAAGACTCCTCTCCTCAGCCTTCTCTGAGCTTACTCTTTTCCCCTTCACTGTTCCCCAGCATACTTCTCTCACACAGCTATAATTTGAACTCACCTGTATCTGCTACACTGCAAGCACCCTGAGGACAGACAGCAAGTTTGCCTCTCTCAGGATGGGATCCTCATGGTCTGACACCACACTCAGCACATAGTAGGTATGAAGGGAGAGACCAGTGAGGGTGGGGAGCTGCATGGTGCCTGGCACCCGGTGGGTGCTATACAAAATTTGTTGAGAAGAGGATATCCAACCATCTTCCTCTGCTTAGTTATCCTGTCCTGCAGCTACGATCAAAGATGAGAAAAAGAGGTGGAGCGAGTCAGCATGTTCAGGGTGTCTGAGTAATATTGTTTTGCAAGCAGAGCAGCATTTTAATTTGCAGAAAAACAATTCTGAGTAAAACCAAGTGAATTAAAAATAAATTGCATGAGTGAACTAATTCCCAGTTCAAGGAGGGCTAACAACTGAAAGTGATATCATTTTTCTTAATTCACAATAGAATCCATAAATATTTGGGGGAGTTAAAATAGTAGTGTTAATATTTGTTATATTCCTGAACATCTGCAACAGTATTTATCCACACGTAGTAAAAAGTGAGCCAGAAATATACTCAGAATGTATTTCTAGGAGCATGTTTGTGAGCCATTTACATACTATACAATGGGTCTCATGTCTTAAATCATAATACAATTTTGTTACAAAAGTTTTCTTATCTCTAGGTCTGCTCTTTCATATTTTTAAGGCAAGACTTGGCACCTCTACTCACTAAAGATTTCCAAAAAATGACCCTCAAATAGGAGACTCTACAAAAGAGGGTAATGTTCTAATATGTAGATATAAAGAGATAAAGAGAGATTAATGAATTAGAAATAGTACTTGGAAAATAATGAATTCTTTTTTTATATTTTAATTAAAAATTTTTTTTTGATGTGGACCATTTTTAAAGTCTTTATTGAATCTGTTACAATATTGCTTCTGTTTTATGTTTTGTTTTTTTGGCCATGAGGCATGTGGGATCTTATCTCCCTGAGCAGGGATTGAACCTGCACCCCCTGCCTTGGAAGGTGAAGTCTTAACTACTGGGCCACCAGGGAAGTCCCAACAAGAAATTCTTTTAAAATAATTTTTAATAATATGTGTGTGACAAAGAGAGAGAGAGGCATGGACATATACACACTACCAAACGTAAGGTAGATAGCTAGTGGGAAGCAGCCGCATAGCACAGGGATATCAGCTCACTGCTTTGTGACTGCCTGGAGGGGTGGGATAGGGAGGGTGGGACGGAGGAAGATGCAAGAGGGAAGAGATATGGGAACATATGTATATGTATAACTGATTCACTTTGTTATAAAGCAGAAACTAACACACCATTGTAAAGCATTATACCCCAATAAAGATGTTAAAAAAAAATATGTAAACTATTTGGAAACTAGAGACAATCAAAAATAATAAAACAAAAATCGGTCATAATTCCTCCCAAAGCAGATAGTTACTAAATTTTTTGATTTATCTGAAATTTCATATGATGTATGGTGTAGGGGAGAAATCAAACTTTATTTTTTTCCTGAATACAAGTTAGCCAGTTATCTCAACTTATATCATTGGGTAAAGCCTTAGAAGAAGTTAATTTCCACTTAAGCAAACCAAGATTGCACCTGTGTTGGCGGCACTTCCTGAGATCCTCTGCTTTTGCCACAGTTCTAAACTTTCTTGGTTCTCTGACTGAAGGGAATATACCAGCAGCGGTGGCCATGTTGCCCACTCAGACCCCAGCCCCGACATTGTCTCCTTCTCTGGGAAGCCAGGAGGACTAGTCAAACCAGAACAGGGAGTTCCAGGGCGGCACCAGCTGAGGGAACAAGTGGAGGCAGAAAGGGTGTCACAGACATTTTCCAAAAGTCTGAATGCATATGCCCAGGATACCACCTCTTTGAATCTAACCTAAAGAAATACTTTCACACATGGACAAAAATGCAAAGGAAGCACTGACCACTGCAGCATTATCAGTTATCAGCAAAAACATCAATAGGAAGTTGGTTACATAATGATAAATCTGTATTATGGAATACTTTGCAGTGATTAAAAAGAATAAGGGGGGAGGGAGAGAAGGGAAAGAGAACGACTGCAAAAACATATTAAATGAAAAACCAAGTCATAGAATAATATGTATGATTTGATCTTGTTAATGTAAAACGAACCCTCATAAATGTGTATAATGTATATATGATATATAAAATGTAATATATACAAAATATGTATTTATACATATATAAAAATATATAAATAAACATATATATACATATATAATATATAGTATATATTTAGAGTATTTAGGTATATGTAACGAGAAAATGTTTTGAAAAGATGCAAATTCCACTAAAGAAATCACAAATGGAATTGACAGGGGGAGTGCTGGAAAAGAGAGATGGCAGAGACGCTGTTTTACATTTTGCTCTAAGTACTTCTGTATTTTTAAAAAATCTTTTACAATGAGAAATGCAGGAAATGCTTATTCAATATTTTCAAAAGACAAAAATAAACATATAAGAAAGGAAGACTTTCATGGAAACTCTAAGCCCATTTATGCCAGCATGAACCAGCATGTTCCCGACTTGCCCGACAGTGGGGTTCAGTCTTTATCAGCAGGTGCAGCTGAAGGCCAGCCCACAAATTCCTACCCATGACTCGAAGCTTAATCTGGGAAATGCAGAATGGAATACAGGAGAACAGGAAACACAGGAGTCCCAGGAACGCTTATATTAAGGACCAGTTAAACCCAGAATTTTAAAAAGTAAAAGGAGCCAGAAATGATGACTACAACAAAAAGAATCATCACCCCCACGGAGAGGGCCAGGCCGATTTTGTTCTGGGCTGGACTTGATTAGACCATGGCATGAAAAAAATGAAATAATTTTTTTTTTTACTGTCTCAGAAGAAAAATACAGAAGGTGTGTCTTGAAGTGACCGAAAATCACAAAGTTTTATTTTTTAAAGTGGAAATGATTCTCTCTTTTGCCACCTGGTGTATCTTACCAAACTGATTTACTAAAGGCTTGACCTTTGGGTCCTCCTATGTTTATAGCAGGTGCCAGATTAGATTCCATTAAACTGGAATAAAAAGCACCTGCCCCAGCCTGCAGCATCAGCCCAGTCCGAGGGCCGTCTGAGAGAGCAGGGGCATGGGGAAGCCTCAGGGAGGGAAGACGGTGGGCTCCCCTACCTGTCAGGTGTCCTAAGGAGAGCACTCCAAGGGACCCTGCTCCTCAGACGCTGATTTCTATTAATGAAGGAAGTACTCAGGAGAAGGGAGGGGAGCATAGATGTAGTGGATTATGAGGAAAACACCACTGCCACCACCACCTTCTTTTATAGGTCTGGTCCCAGAAAATGTCACTTTATTTCCCAATTCCCACCCTACCCTTGCCCAGGGGTGAGAAGGGGTGAGAAGAGGGGAAAAATAATTTGCTTTGATACTTGAAATGTATTAAAACCTGCAGACACTGACAGTCTGCTCCTCTTCCATGCAGCAGCGTGGGGCAGTGATGAACCTAAGGAGAGAGATCCTGACAGCTGAGAACACTCACAGGTTAAGTGGTTCTGTGCAATTCCACACCCCTGCTGGTATCCCCCAAAGGACGAAATCCCAGAGTACTGTTAAGTGAGACAGTCTCTTTTATCTAAGGCCACTTTTTCTATTCCGTCCTCTCTTGCTGCGTGCTTTCAATTACCCTTCTCTTGCTCAATTATTTAATCTTTACCCCTCAACTGCAACTTTTCAGCATGCGGAAGGCCTTCCCATTTAAAGAAAAATAACCACATTCTCTTGTTATGGACTAAATTTTGTTCTCCCCAAATCCATTTGTTGAAGCCCTAAGCCCCCAATGTGATGGCATTTGGAGACAGAGCCTTTGGGAAGTGATTACATTTAGATGAGGTCATGAGGTTGGGGCCCTCATGATGGGATTACTGCCCTTATACTCAGAGGAACCAGAGAGCTTGCATGCTCTCTCTCATTCTCTCTCACTTTCACTTCCCACCATGTGAGGACACAGCAACGAGGCAACCACTGCAAGCCAGGAAGAGAGTTCTCTCCAGAAAGCAGCCATGCTGGCGCCTTGATCTTAGACTTTCAGCCTTCACAACTGTGAGAAAATAAAAGTCTGTTGTTGAAGCCACCCAGTCTATGGCACTTCGTTACAGCAGCCCGAGCTAAGACGGTCCTACACTCTGCTTCCAGGAACTACTTCTTCCACCATTTCACAGCCAAATTTCTGGAAAGTGTCAGTGTTTATAAAGCCTGTCTTCATTGCCCACTCATCACACCCCTCCAGTCTGGCTTCCTCCATTTCACTAGCCCAAAGAATCTTTCCGTTAAGTTACCAATCACTTCCATATTGCTACATCCAGTGGACAGTTTTTGCCTCTCTCAGGTGTATTTGACCACTCCCTCTTCCCCTGGCTTCTATGAAGCCACACTCTCCTAGTTTTCCTCTTCTGTCTCTGGCTGCTCTGCCTTAATCTCTTCTGTGGGCCTATTTTCTGCTATTGCCCTAGGCCCTCTTCTCTTCTCCCTGTAGACACTCTCTCAGCCGGGGTGCACACCTTCAATTATCACTTACATGCCAGTGATTCTAATTTTCATCTTCAGCTGGGACCTTCCCTCTAGGCCCCAGATCTACAAATGCTGATCTGACGATTCTAAGAGGAGAACCCCAGGACCAGCATGTCCAAAGTAAACTCACAAGTTTGCCCATAACATGGTTCATTCATGCATTTAGACAAATGAGTCCGAAATCTAGGAATGAATCATTCTTGACCATTCCCGCCTCCATCTTACATCCAATTTATCATCAAGGCTCACTTATTTAGCTTTCTGTGACCAATTCCCTTTATGCTCCTTCCTCTCTCACCTGCTCTATTGCAGTAGCTTCCTAAATGGTATACCTGCATCTATTCTTGCTGTCACCAACCCATGTGATATTTTTCAAAGTGCAAATCTGATCACATCTTATTCCTGCTGAAATCTTCCAATAAAGTTTCATTGCTCTTACATTATGACCAAAGTCCCTAATGCAGGCCTAACCACGCATCTTTACTTCCGTTCCAGCTTCCTCTCACACCACACAACCCCTCACTTTCTACTCCACAGAGGCCATGTTTCCTCCCGCCAAAGGACCATGTCATGTACTGTTTCCCCTGCATAGAACACTCTTCTACTCCTCTTCTTCTTGTCCTGTTATGGGTTGAATTGTGGCCCCCAAAAAGATATGTTGAAGCTCCAACCCCTAGTACCTCAGAAGGTGATCTTATTTGAAGACAGGGTCTTTACAGAAGTAATCAAGTTAAACAAAATGAGGTCATTAGGGTGGGTCCTAATCTAATATGACTGATGTTCTTACTACAAAGGGGACATCTGGGCACAGAGACCAACATGTACAGAGGGAAGGAAATATAAAGACACAAAGGGAGAAGGCAGTTATATGCCTTGGGAGGTACATCTACAAGCCAAAGAACACCTGGGGTTGCAGCACACACCAGAAGCTAGATAAGACAAGGAAGGAGTCTCTGCTAGAACCATCAGAGAGAGCACGGCCCTGCTGACACCTTGATTGCGGACTTCTAGCCTCCAGGACCACGAAATAATACATTTCCGATGCTTTAAGCAACCCAATTTTTGGTACTTTATTATGGCAATCCTAGGAGGCCAATACATCCTATCAATCCTTCTGTCTCATTAACTCCCATTCAGTTCAATCAGACTTTCTCAGGGAGTATGTCCTGGACCTCCTGGCTAGGGCCCCTATTAGATATACACAGCACTCTGTTCTCCCCTTCATAGCACTTACCACAGTTACAACTTGACATGTGTTTATATGATTATTTGACAGAATCTCTCATTAGACTATAAAGTCCACTGCAGTAGGGACTGTGCCTTTCTTTAGTTTATTGTGCTACTCCCTGTGCCTAGCCTAGTACATCACACATACTGAAGCTCTATAAATACTTGTTGAATAAATGAATGAGAGAAAGAGATAAGAGGGGCATGCTGGAGATGGAACTAGAGGCTAAGACCTTAAAAGAAGACAGGCTGGGAGACAGTTTAACATGATAATAATTTCCAGAAGGGCCTCGAAATACCTCTGCTGTCAGCTGGTGCTATCATTCCATAGAAGAAAGGTTTGAAATGCACATATCCCTGAGAGAGATAAGACATTAACCTAAATTTGCATTAGCATATTAATAACATCCTTCCCAGAAAGTAAGCTCGAGGAGAAGGTGTGTCATGGAGAACACTAAGTCAGGACTCTGAATGTCTGAAGATGGAGGCTGTGACCTGACGATGGGAACCAGGGTGAATGGTGTAAAAAAATAACCTTTCTTACGTCACAGTTTTGTTAAGGGTCAGCTTACCATTGGCCAGAAGCAAACTGCCAGATTACTACTTACCAAGCGTCGACGAGACCCCTTCCCAGAGAACTTTAACACAGCGCTTCACTGACACTTGGCAGCCAGGGAACCACTTCCTCTTCAACTAGATGATGCTGGGGGACAGTGAGAGGACGGGTATCCGGGACCCACCCAACCCACCATGCCCTTGAGTTCTGATCACAAGGTTCTTCTGCTGGAATTAAAATGGAAAAATCTTCACCATTGATCAACATCCAGATCCCACAAGGTACAGGCCACCACACACAGCCGGTTCACAAAGGACAGTCAGCTTTTCGGGGAGATCAAACTTTAGAACCCAATAATGACAGGAAATGATCCTCACATTTTATTAAAAAGGATTTGCTGAAGATCAGCAGAAATAGAAGAGAAAGTTGTTGTGTTTTTTTTTGTGGTACGCGGGCCTCTCACTGTTGTGGCCTCTCCCGTTGCGGAGCACAGGCTCAAGCGACCATGGTTCACGGACCCAGCCGCTCCGCGGCATGTGGGATCTTCCCGGACCGGGGCACTGAACCCGCGTCCCCTGCGTCGACAGGTGGATTCTCAACCACTGCGCCACCAGGGAAGCCCCGATAGTTGCTCTTATAAAACGTTTTTAGAGCTACAGGAGTTCATTTTTTTTTTTTTTTTTATTCTCTACTGTCAACATGCCTTCAATGGCAGCAAAAAGGGAAACAGATTTTTCTTCATTGCCCCAACTCAGGATATATTTCCAGAATAATGATTAAACACCCCTCAAAATGCCTCCCATTCATACTCTCTGAAATTGTTAACGTTAGTTTTATAAAGGATTAGTCTAAAGTTTACTGAAATCTTAGACTTTTAGAGTTAAAAGGGATCTTTGAGTATATCTGATCCAACCTCCCTCCAGTGAAAAAATATATTCTACAAAATTTCCAACAGTGACCTCAACTTATGCTTGAGTTTTCATGGGAACAATGATCTATTTTACTTCTTTTCTAGCCAAATTATTCCATTACTAAGCAATTCTACTTAAGCTTTTTTTTTTTTTTTTTAACATCTTTATTGGTACTTAAGCTTTTTTTAATATATCTTATTACATGGAACTCTATAAAACCAATTGGCTCCATTTAAATTTTACGCTGGTACCTTATTCTTCCAAAAGTAATTGCCTAAAAAATTACTTAATTGAATATTTAAGTGAAAGGCACAAAATTGGCAATGATTTTATTTTTGCACTTATGACCTCTGGAATATTCCTGTGGCAGGTGTAAAATTAAGCTAAATTTTGAAATCTAACACAAGTTTCAACATGTACATTACACATTTGCAGTCTTTCCCCAAAAAGAGCTTTAAGCATTAGAGTGTTTTCAATCTTTACCTTTTTTAGTGAAACTTGAACTTCACAAAACAGTCATTTGTGAGGTATCTTTCCTACAGTGACTCATTTTTGTGAACAATTTCATTTCTATAAAATATATTGTTGGCACGTGGTATAGTCATTTAATTTTATAATGACAGTATATTTTAAGAGTAAAAGCAAATATAGATGATTTAGAAATTCTGAAACAAATTGAGCAACTGGAAGTAAAAACCAAAAGCTTTCTCAAATATGTTTTAAATAAACCATTAGAGTCAGAGTAAAAAGAAAACTTTTAACTTTGAGCAGAATTTTAGAACATTTTAAATGTTCATAAAAATCTCAAAATATATAACCAAAATAAGCAGAAAAATACAGAGGTCACAGGCTTCTGATTGGGCTCAATGTGGAAATAACAATCTACACTGTTTCCTGAAAGTCATTAATAGGACTTAGTCAAAACAAGAGAGAAAATTCTAAAGAAAGGAGATCTGATAATTAAATCATGAGATGATTAGCAAAAGCATTTACCTTCCAAGAGGCAGCAGGAAGAAGGTAATCTCAGCCAACATCTCTATTCAGCAAAAAAGAGAGCCCCGAGAAACTGAAATGACTTAGCTAGATCTCCCCTACTGTTCTCTATAACTGATAGGGGCTGCTGCTGTTTGACTCAGTTGTAAGGACTCATACCGATGAAAATTAGTTATAGCAATTGCTTGTACTGTCAGCCATGTTCAAATGCTGCCTTCTATACTGTAATAATCACGTTTCAACTTGAAAGGGATTAAAACCTCCACAAATACTGAAGCATACTGAAAATAAATTGAAAACCAGTGGGAAATAGAGTGTGGTTTAAAAAGCTTCATCAGCAACCTTAAACAGAAGAATTACGACTTGTGCCCCAGATAAAATTTCAGAACGGACTTCAAAAGCAATCCTTAGACTATTTTCAGTGTCTCAAAATATGTTAGTGGGAAGAGAGGCATAACAATTTTATTTGGATCTGTTTTGGACAAAAGAAAGTTTAATTAGAGACAAATTCCATAATTCACTTAGGAAGCAGAGTCCTTTTTCCTTGGTTTTTTTACTTACAATATTTTAAAGTTACAGTTTTGAAAGAGCTGAAAAATGTTTCCTACTAACTCTCCCATGTTCTCTGTGGATAAAAGTTCTGTGTTTTGGATCCTTCACACGACAGAAGATAAATGCAGGAGATGGAAGGAGTGAATTCCACAAACACTCAGCCTAGCTGCAATGTGAAACCAGCAACTCTAATAATTTATAGCTATATAAAAAGAAAAAAGGGAGACTGCTACACTTCACAACCACGAGGAGTAGCTGATCACAGCTTTCATACAATACGCATGCAAGCACTTCCCCACAATCACTTCAAAGAACCATTCTCTTGTTCCAAACAATTTCAAAAGCAAAGGAACTACCTATAGCCATTTAGAAAATGAAATGCTGTCTAGAAAATAATTATTGGGATCCATAAACAATTAAAATTGGAGGTAGGGGATACTTAGATTTACTTGGATTCTTTCTTAGGAAGTTAAATTAAGAATTATCAAAGAAAATAAATTTCAAAATACTGTATAAACTCCTTTGGAAGTAAGCTACATATAAATAAGTAGGTGTTCTCTTGATCTGTTCAAAAATCATCTGACACTAACAGATATACTACCCTGTATTTTGGTAGTACCATTTACGATCCATAAGATGGCAGGCCTAGATTTCATAGTGATATTCTTAAAAGTGTAAGTATACTGGTTGCCTTGAAATAAATATTGAATATTATCAGCAGTGTGTGGCTAGTAATAATATTAAGGGCATCTATCAGATTAAATTTGGAAATTATGAAGCATGGAAACTATTAACAAGCTAATGCATTCTATTAGCTCATAATGAATCACAAAATACTACAGCCAGAAGAAAACTCACGATCACCTATTTTAGTCTTGCCTTTCTCCATATAAGGAAACCAGAATCCAGATTGCCCAATGTCACAGGGCATAGGGAATAGCAGAGAGAGACCCAGAATCCTGGTTTTCTTCACCCCAGTTGGCATTAATCCTAACGTTCACTGTATTTCTTCAGCTCCTCATGGTGGCATCAAAGGCCACATAACTGCTCTGCCCTATCTCACTGCTCTCAAACCCCACTTCTGCACTTCTCCACAGACTGCCTTTTACTTGTCAAAGTGTCTCTCATGAGTTAGCACTCTGTTCTGCCTGGACCCCAAGCATGGAATTCCACAACTCTCTTCATGAATTTGTTCGTGTGTTTCTCAAACTGGGGTGTGGTGATATGGAGTGGTATTTGAAGCTACAGGAGTAGTTAAGTCCTATCTCTTAGACAGGTTTTTGGAGGTGCAACATCTTCTTAATTGAAAGAAATAAAATATGTATAAATTTTAAACATGAAATACATGAAGTTTCAAAAAAATGTGTAGCATTGGGTAGACTAGCTCAGGCCCGCAGCAATAAATCTCTTCTGTTCCCTATCCTGTCAGGGATACTCTGGTGAAAAGCTTACAGCTGTACAGTCGGCCCTCAGGTTCTGTTATCGGTGGATTCAACCAACTGTAGATTGAAAATATTCGGGAAAAAAAAATTCCAGAAAGTTCAGAAAAAGCAAAACTTGAATTTGCTGTGCACTAGCAACTAGTTACACAGCATTTACATTGTATTAGGTCCTATAAGTAATCTAAAGATGATTTTAAGTATATTGGAGGATATGCATAGGTTATATGCAAAGATCACGCCATTTTGTATAAGGGATTTGAGCATCTGCAGATTTCGGCATCCTCAGGGATCCTGGAACCAAACCCCCTCACATACCAAGGGTGACTGAACCTGGTTAAAAGGTTCCTTTCCTTCAGAGCATAGCCTGGAGCCCACCCTGTCTTCTGTGAAGTACCTAAGGTCATGTTACACTTGTGTCCTAGACAAACTATCACACTACTGCCTAAATACTGTGTAAATGGTCCTAAGATAAATTTAACTTCTATGTGACAAAACATTATATTATAAACATTATAATGGAAATCAAATATCAACTATTATACAACTATCATATGGGATACATATGTAACAGATAGAGACAACTGGTTGGCAGAATTCTTATGGGCAAACCAAACACAGTAGACGGAATTAATAAAAATAAACCAATGTACTACTTTTAGAGTTTTATACTGAGTTTTTTCCATTAAGCATTATATGCTATAGAGAAAAGTACGGAGATCCAAGAAGGTGAGCTAGAGGACTTCTGACCAATTACCTAATCTGTCTTGGTCTGCTTTCTATTTTCTCATCTGTAAAAAAGAGTGAATTGGATTAGGAAGGGGGGAAAAAGTCTAGAATTTTAAATTGCTTTTTCTCATCTTTTGCTCTACCATCTCTTTGGCATAATTTTTTAATGAATGTAACATAAAATAATCAGTGCCTAAACCTTTTTTCTATATATCCTGACAATGATTAATTCAGTTACTTGAAATATACTTACTTCCTTAAAAATTCTCAGCATATTCATGGGTTAGAAATCTGTAAACTAGTCCATGTTGTGAAAAACACAGACGGACTGAGGAAGGATTCCAGATTACGTGACACTAGAGACATGACACTTGAATGCAATGCATGATCTGGGATTTTACTTTTCTATAAAGAACAGCAGTGGGACAATTTGCAAATTTTGAATGAAGACTGTAGATTGGACAATATTGGACAATGTTATTATGTCCTTTTCCTGATTTTGATAATTGTACTATAGTTATGTAACATGTAATAGAATGACCTTATTTCTAGAATTATACACTGAAATGTTTAGGGACAAAGGGCTATCATGCCTGCCACAAG